AAAAAAAATCTACCTGTAACCTATCGTTGACATTCTGCATGTTGATAACATTGAAATAGTCCAAAGCACTTGGTCGGAACTTAGCCACTAGTCCAGCCAGGGCTCTTCCATCGTTCCAACTAAACGGTTGGAAACGTTGGAATTCTGCTTCAAATTAAGACGAATGCCCAACTAACCATACATCCAGATCGTAAAGTTTCAATTTGTATGGTGCAAGTGCTAAATGGCAGAACTTCCATAAAGAATACTTCCGGAGAGCTGGATTTGCATGAACTGAGCTGGCATTGTTCAGAACCAGAGCTTGGCTTATTGGTGCTGAAAGAAAGGAGCAAGGATAACAAGAATTTACTTAGCAGACCTGTGTTCTTATGAGGAGGAATTAGAAGCTTACTATTTAGTAGGGAGAAAGTTCCACAACCCGCAGCTCTCCCATAAATTACTGCTACATATTTTACCTGCCTTTAGAAAGTAAGGAAACTAAGGGATGTTTAACTATCTAAAAATCGCAATATATTTCCGCAAGCGACTTCTAGTGGTCAAAATTTTAAAAGGCTTTGCGCGGCCAAAGATAGAAACAAAGTACAAGAATAGATAGTCGGTTTGAATCCCGACTCAGTACATTAAAGACCAGGTATCACATGGTCACTCCTATTTCTTACCACCTTTTCTATATTATGTATCTTAAAGTACGAAGGTTATTGTATACGCTGGCCCAGAATGGCAAAGTAATTGTATCAAGCCGCCTTGCTTAAAATTTACAGTACTTGCGAAAATGGCAAGATTCCTTGCGGCGAATCGGGTAATGCATGACGCAGGTTCTTAGTGAATGAGGATGTCGTTAATTGGGGAGAAACGTTTTAAAAACGAAATATGTTCAAATATATTAATACTGGAAGAACTGCGAGAAATTCCCCAATCATGTTTGCGCACTTTCAAGGTAAAAACATGCCATTCTTAATGGGCCTCGTAACAGCTTCATCACTGGTTAATTGCAAAGACGAATATAGCTTGGAAAAGGGCTGCTGAAAAATTTTCAGGTTTTATGTGGTAAAACTGTTTCGTGCGCACTACCATCGTCAATTATTTTGAGAAAAATATGAACTACAATATTACCCATTCTCGGGTTGTCCGAGCTAACGATCTGAACTACATCCTCAGGTTGCAATGGCATCTCTAACGATACATACCGGGTGCGAGGATCGATGGTATACTGGAAGAAAATATTTGAGATAGTTTCTAGGTTGCAAATTTCGCATACCCTCACCTTGTTTATAGCCTTATTCATGTTATCTTTAGTAACTTGAGCCAGTAAACGGTAGATGCTCTCACGTTCGGCAATCATTTCCAAGGGTCCTGGAAAACGATTGAATGACTGAGCACAGTATAGAAAAAGAAGATGGAACCTCTCTTGTTCAGTCCGTACTCTCTGATCAGCCAAGCCGTATCGAGAACTCCCAAAAATCCGCGAGCGCAACCCGATCCAGTAGGCCAGAATGGCTAAGAGGGGTTTTTTTTT